CGTAACCCTCTCCAGCTTATTGCCCCTTCTAGAAGGATCGTCGCGATTGGTCGCGATATAATTTTGGCGTACCGGTGGGTACCGGGTGCACTGTAAATCAGAGTGTGGTCCTGACGGCACTTTTTTTTTGCGGTACAGAAATATTGCACGATGCTGTGATGATTATCGCGGAAAAAGTACAACATTACATTCATTGCTGCTTGTATTTGAGGTGATCATCTCTTATTGGTTGATCCTTTAAGGTATCATAGTTTTGTGCAATGTGCATTACACCGTGCACAATGTGCATCGCCAACCGGAGGAGCGACTGTAGCGGCGACAGTTAGCGAGAGTCCATTGTAGCAGTTGCAATTTTAAAAGCTTGTTATGGTACTCGGTGAGTGGCCGGCTGGGTAGGCAACCCCGCAAAGCACTCGTGTAGGCACGTTGCCTAATTCGCCCGGGGCCATGATCCACCATATTGGGACAGGCGATAGGCAAACCCATCCGCACACTTGCATGTGCTCTACCGGGACCAGGGCTAGTCACCTTCCCAGAAAAAGATTGAAGCCGAGCACGAGCACAAGAACACTGCTCGCCTACACTGACTGGATTTGTGTGTTTTATTTGTACACAGTCAAACAAACGAACTTTGTGCACACATTTCTGCGTTGATTCGAAACCATTTGTTTGTGCATTTATGAGTACGAAATCGTGCATTTTTAAAATGAAACTTGGCTTTAACTTAGCACGAACATTTCCAGAAAACTATCCACAGCGTAGGCTTCAGAATATTTTGAACTTTGAAACATGCACAGCTTTACGCCTTAACATTTAAACTCAACTTTTACCGGTTAACAGAGTGTCCATTTAACTTTTGGCGCCGATTCAACTTTTAATTGTATGGGCATTAAAGCTAGCTTGGTGCTAGGTTAAGTGTCGTACACCCAAAAAGCGTGTGCCTTGCGAGATCAGGGGTGGAACACGCGTTCCTGGGTGATATTCTTTGAGGTCTTACCTGGAAGAATACGTTGGGACCACGGACGGTAAACAGACACTGTCCTCTGACCACCGGCTAACTACTATATACTGCACACGCACGCAGCGAGCGACCCCCGGAAGTCGTTGCACCTCTCCGATAGAGGCAAATAAAGAAATCCCCACGCATGAGTAAACCCACGGTTGACGTTTACCTGGTGACGTGGGCGGTGGTTGAGGTGTCGCTATCCTGGCGCGAGCCGCGGGGGTTGCGAGCCCTGCTGGGCCCCGGTAGTGCGTGGGCGCAGGGGGCGACGCGTTCACCGTCGCCGCGCGCTCAGCTCGCGGGCGGGCGGGGCGGGAGGGCTGGCTGTCGCACACGGCTGTCGCGAGCTGTCACCGGCCGGAGCAGTTGTGCCTGTGAGCGGTGCCGTTGCCGTTCTGTCCAGCAGTGCTGGCTGGGCGCTGCACTCAGCAAAAGCGAAGCACGGCGAAGCGCTCCGCCGCCGGGCCGGGCCCGCCTGTACTTATAAGCTCCGTACCGCGCGGCCGGGGGAGGGAGGGGAGGGGCGCAGCAGCTGGAGGGCCCGCAGGGCCAGGGCCAGGGGCAAGCAGGAGGGCGTCCGGGGGCCCGGGGAGAGAGAGGGAGGGAGAGGGAGGGGAGGGAGAGGGAGAGGTACGCGCGCGCCACTTCGGCGGCCAACGACGGGCGCGACGGTCCCGTCTATTCGATCACGAAAATGTTGGCCGCGGTACGGCTCCGTCCGTTGTACGGCAATCGGACCGGCCGGCTGCCCGTGTCTCCCGAGCGTCTGTCCGGCACGCCCCGTCCGTACGGCTCCGCCCCGCCCTCTGTGGCTTCAACAGCTCAAAAACAAGTCAAGCACCAAGCATAGGTTTCTCTCTGTTATTTTCTTGCTTTCTCTCTTTACTCCCCTATTCACCACCCCATTTTTCCACCCCACCCTGTACTGTACACCCTCGACACTTTTGAAAATATTCTCTCATTGGCAGTGTCTGTCTGTCTGTCTGTCTGTCTGTCTGTCTGTCTTTCCGTCTGTCTTTCCGTCCGTCCGTCCGTCCGTCTGCATGTCTACATTTTTTCTCGATACCCACGGCATTGCTTCCACGGTAATTCTCTGTCGCGTGTTATACAAAGGTTCCACTCCACTCCACACAAACACGCGTGAGATCTGCCGATCTCACGAGTCAATCATTCCACCCTGACCCGACTCGTCACCTCCACCCTCCCTCGCCCAGCACCCCCAGGGGAAAACAGGCTTATATAACTTTATTTACACATTGAAGTCAAAGTATTGTAGTCAGGAGTATGATGAATGCATAGTGATTTGATGAATTTCTTTGTAAAGTCCACAAGTGAAAAATTCATGCTAAAATTTATAACCCCTGCATCTGTTTCTAAACCTAAACATTTTTCTCGTTTTGATTTTACAATGTTACTATATGAACTGTACGGAATAATTGTGTTTCTCTTCCCACAACGATTAATTTGGGATGACGGAAGATCACGTTTTTCCGTTACAACATGACTTACTTTTAGGCGACCTGAGCGAGTTTTGGCGAAAAGCTTTGGCTGCAAAGTTCACCGCACTGTTATGGCAAAGGGAAAGTTCATCGCAGTTCAAGCAATAATAAATCCCTCGAGGTCCGCTCGCAGCCTCTCGCTGCGCCGCGCTCCGCTCCCCGCGGCTGCGCCGGTCGCTAATTAGCGGAAACTACCCCGTGCTGTTTACAGTATGGCCGCCCCCCTCAGGGTGACGGGCAACACTCCCCTCCCTGGCCATCATTGACCCCTTCCCCCCTTGCCCCCTCTTATTTTCCCATCCAATCCACTTTGATATTCATTTCTCTGACCGGTCAACCTGCTGCTGCTATACGCCCTCGCTGCCCTCCCGTCCTCGCGTCCACGCGCGCGCCCTCACGTCCTCGAGCCCCCGCGTCCCCGCAGCGCCCGCATACGTACCGGGTGTTGCGGGTGTTGCGGGAGTTGTCGGGTGCAACTGTGAATACGCAGCAGTGTTGCGGGATTGCAGACCCAATGTGGCCGCAGGGGCCATGGCTCCTTACATTAGGGGTGTAAAGAGTAGGCAAACCCGCAACACTGCTGCGTATTCACAGTTGCACCCGGCACGCTTGCTCGCGGCCCGGATGGGCGGCCTATTGGGTGGCCTAACCGCGCGGCGTAGGCGGCGCGGTACCGCTGTGGGCGCCGGTGAGGTGGGCCACCCATTCGGCCGGTGAGCGGCGCGGGCGCGGGGGGGAGAGGCTCACCGGCGTGACGAAGCCGTCGCTGCTATGTCGCAATCGGGGGACCACCTGGGGATCTCAAACTCTAGTATTCGCCTGGACCGATAGTGCAGCGCGACCAACACAACAGGACATATGGTTGGTTATGGAGGGATGAGTGGTTCACCACGGCTCACTCTTTTAGACTAAATCTGTTTTCAAAATTTTGCCATTAACGTTATACTTACCCATTGGTGGTGGGATAGATGGTGGTCAAGTTTACAAGCTTGACTTGAGGAAAACAGACTTGTAAGAAATGTCAAAGAAGGGGCACGTTTCACAGTGAAAAACATCGTCGGATATTTACAAAATTTTTGTAAACTCGAATTATAATTTAAGTTGTAAATTTACGGCAGCACACTTTTTACTCGCCAAGGGATTTGAAGTCGATACATACTGCATGTATTTTTACGCTTACAAATTGTAATTTTACAACTTGCGTCAAGGAAAATTTTCCTGTAAACCTACCTACTTTTTTCACAGTGTTTAGACAGTCTAGGGGACTGTCTAAAAATGTGCACACTTGCCGAAAGACCGATGTGTAGCAGAAGTACGCCGGCATATTTCATTTCACAATCCGCCATGTTTTCGTGGCACAAAAGCTGGGTCCGTCCGGGATTTGAACCCGGGACCTCTCGCACCCTAAGCGAGAATCATACCCCTAGACCAACGGACCGGCTTGAGAGCTAAGCCGCACCCATCCCGCTCACAATGCAACCGCAGTCGGTAACGGCCCGGCGGGCCCAAGCCCCACCCGCGGAGAGTGAAAGTCCACTCCCGCCCGCCCCACCACTCGGAGCGGCGCGGCGTGGCGTGAGCGCTGTGTCCTTGGCCGTGAAGACACCCAAGCTCGAGTGTAATGCAGGCAGATCCAGCCACGGCAATAGATTTAGCACAAGTGCCTTTAAGTGTATATTTTTAGACAGTCCCAAAGACTTGCTGTTTTGCAGTATATGTTAGGCAAAAATTCCCACGAATACACCTGTGTGGAGCGCCTACCTACTAGGCAACTTCTCAGCACGCGTGTGTAAATGTTGCCCACTAGGCAGGTGCAGATGCAGCCCGCTCCACACTGGGGTATTCACTACGACTGTCTCTACCAGAAGGCAAAGCCCCCCCCCCCTTCTTCCTGTAGTTAATGCGTTCATTATCAGGATAGCAAGCCATTTACGGTACTGTTTTCAACCTTAGGCTTTACGCTGTGAAAGTGCCCTTCCAGCCAAAAAGCTTTTATTTTCGTCCAGTCGCATTCACCCAATCGTTTGGCAATTTTGGGTGATTTTCTTTTTTTATTGTTGAAATAATATGAGTTTGACAACCCGAAATGGAATGGCATGTACGTGGTTAAATCAGCACGGTCGGGGGAGGTGCTACCGTACCGTGCTTCACTCGCTCCAGGCGGGCCTACGGCTGGCCGCCGTCTCCACACGGCTGTTCGGCGGGCTGGCCTACCCTGCGCGTGGCAGGCGCTCGGTCATTGGCGTCGCCTAGGAAAACGTGCTTCGTGGGAACACCTATCTCTATGTCGATACTCCAGCCTCGCGAGAATTTCACCAAGAAGCCACCTCTCTTCTAACATGGAGCAGAGCCTCAACGCTGACGTGCGATTCTCTCGCAAGATTTTTTACGCTTGAGGAGTTGTGGGCGTACCGGGAGGGGGGGGGGGCGTTCAGCGCCACCAATATGCCTGCATGGGGAACGCTTTTGCGAAGAAAAGCACATTCAACAGTGGAAAGGCTTACCCCGCTGCGCTAAGCCTGCACACGACTAATTCTATATTGGATGTAGCCAGGTGTTCCGCGCCATTACGGCCTTGTTGTGAGTGCAGTTTTGGCGTTATTGCGGTGATACGTTTTGGTACACGTTTGTACGCTTTAGTAAGCGTCCCTACGTCATTAGTACAGACAGTACGAATTAGTAGGCAAAGTGATTTTGTCCCCGACGGCGGCACGTCGTCGCGTGCGTCATGCCGGCCGGCACGCGCAGGCAGGGGCGAACGTACCCCTCACGACATGGCTCCTCTCGTGACCGAGCCCGTGACCCCTGACCCCGCCGTCCGTCGGAGGTGAGCCACACAATTAGGAGAGCGGAGCGCACACGAAAAAAAAAACAAAAAAAAACTTTGTTGTGAGGATCAGTTATGTTTGGTAGGCTAAATTCGATAGCTGGAATCGAGAATGAGAATCCGATACCCAGAACCAAGGGTTGTTCGCCACGACCGGACACTTGTACGAAGAGAACAAACTCCAGCTTGGTTCTCTTCGTACAAGTGTCTGGTCGTGACAACCAGCAAAGAAGTTCTTTTTTCCGTGCGACCCTAGCCCGGGAGTCGGAATTGTAACCATTATATCATAGAGTTGATTTCGGAAGCCATTTGCGGATGTGTGGCGTTCAAATCAGTGTTATGTAATGACTACACATCAGAAGTAAGATGTCTTTATTCTGACGTTGATATCAAAATATCAATCACGTACGTCTTCTGACATTATCGTAAAACTGACTAATACCACCCACATTTCACAACGTGCTTTGAGGAGTTTTGACACAAATTTAGAGTTATTGGGCATCAACGGATTCATTTAGTGAGGCCGTTTTACTTTCATTAAGACAGCGTGCATAAGTATGTAGATGTTACTATTCAGACCTCAACGTCACGTTAATAATTAAACCAAATTATACGCTGATAAAATATAACTATTCGATTCTAACATACTGAAGTATTGACGTATAGATTCTGACTCCCAGCCCAGGGGTGACTTCGGGAGCGAGAGTGGACCGGACCCTTCTGTCGAGGGTTCGGGTACGATCGACGGCATCAAAGGGCAGTCGAAGGATACACTGACCTCCCGAACCGATCCGAACCCTACATTTTAAATGTAGATAGTCAAGCAACTGTGCGACTTAAGTCAACTTAAATTGCACGACCCTGTCTAGAATCTGTGCGACTTGATGAACAACTTTTTGTTGACAATAACATGTACATATTGTTGTATGTATAGGGAAGAGCCGTATACTGTCTACCACGGGACACTTAGTAACCTGTACAACACATTGCCCAAGGGTCTCACCACCTCAAGGTGTCCAACCAACAGCTGTTAAAATTAAGTTATAGAACAGTTCTGGACACCCATGACTTACAGTACGCTGTCGTTGTCGTAATTGTATTACCACCAGCAGCAGCCTGATGGGCACGCG